TCAGTTTGACAGAGTTGTAGCTTATGGTTCTCGACAGTTAAAGAGCCATGAGTAGAATTACCCCACGCATGACATGGAGTTGATGACCATTGTCTTTGCCTTGAAGGCTTGACACCACTATTTGTATAATGAGCAGTTTGAGGTATTTTTGGACCACAAAATTCTGAAGTACATCTTTACACAGAGGGACCTCAATATGAGGCAACGCAGGTGGATGGATTATTTAGAAAACTATGACTTCATTTTTCATTATCATCTCGATAAAGTAAACGTGGTGGCTGATGCATTTAGTTGGAAGTTACAGGGAGTCTTAGCTAGTGTGGCATCCCGTGAGTGGCAGATACTCGAGATTGTGGAATAGTTTGGATTGCACTATAGGGGTCAGGCTCAGAGCACTTTGAGAAATTTGGTGACTACACCTTCTCTACTGAGCAAAGTGCTTGAGTCCCAAGGGACAGGACATAGAGATATTGTTCATCAAGGACCAAGTATTGTCGGGTATTTATGACGAGGGCTAGGTCATTCACGTGGATGGTAGTTTTCGGTTTAGGGGAAGGGTTGTGGTTCCCTAGTCTGCAGAACTGAGAGATGAGTTCCTTAGGGAATTTCATTACTCCCATTTTGTTGTGCATCCAGGTGGCACAAAGATGTATCATAACCTTCGTCGCCAATACTATTGGAGTAGGATGAAGAGGCACATCGAAGATTTCGTTAGTCGATGTCTCACGTTTCAGCAAGTTAAGGCTGAATATCAGAGACCAACAGGGTTGCTCCAGCCTTTGGAGGTGGCTGAGTAGAAGTTGGATCACCTCATGATGGATTTTGTGACCCACTTGCCACGGACTTCACAGGGACATGACGTGGTGTGGGTGATAGTGGACTGGCTTACGAAGTCGACACACTTTTTGACTGTGTGGATGACCTTCACATTGGAGAAATTCTACCAATTGTATATACAAAAGATAGGCTAGTTGCATGGGGTGCCCGTATCTATACCATCGAATCGGAATCTCAGGTTCACGACTCATTTTTGAGAGAGTTTTCAGCGGGCCATGGGGATACAGTTGATGATGAGCACAACTTTTTATCTCCATATGGACGGTCAGTCAGAGAGGACCATCTAGACTTTAGAGGACATACTATAAGCATGCGTCCTAGATCTCAAGGGTAACTAGGAAGAGCATTTGCCCTTAGTGGATTTCGCGTACAACACTAGTTATTAGGCGAGCATACAGATGATACCCTATGAGGAACTTTATGGGAGGTCTTGTTGTTCTTCGGTTTGTTGGACGGACATTGCAAAGAGACCCTCTACGGGTCCAAATTTGGTTAGAGAAACCTCAAAGAATGTGGACTTGATACGAAAGCATCTTCTCACGACTCAAAGCAGGTAGAAGAGCTACGCCGACAAATGGCGGCGACCTCTAGAGTTTGGGGTCGGAGATCATATCTTCTTAATTGTGATACCTAATAGAGGAATGGTCAAGTTCGAGAAGTGGGAAAATCTGTTGACGAGGTATATAGGACCCTTTGAGGTACTCGAGAGAATTGGTACAATTGCTTACCAATTGGCGTTATCACAAAATTTATCGGGAATTCATGCGGTATTCAATGTCTCTATGCTACAAAAGTACACTTTAGATCTGACACATGTAGTGGATTGGGGTGAGTTGATTGTTATGTAGATGAGACCTTCAAGGAGGGACCGATGTGTATCATAGATAACTAAGAGTAGGTTTTGTGAGGCAAGCCTGTGAGGCCGGTGAAGGTGCTATAGCAATACCGAGGGTGTGGATGACGCGACATGAGAGCGTAAGGACACCATACATACCAGTTGTCCATTATTGTTCGAGGATGGAGATACATTCTAATAGTCAGAAGTATTGTATTACTTGTTGCATATTGCATGTGGGTTAAGTGTGCATGATCGTGTAAATTTTAGGTATGAAATTCTTTCAGGGGGGAAGAATGTAAAACCCGAGAAAAATTTAAATTTTTATAAAAAGAGCAAAATGATAATTTGGCACTACGGTATAGATTGAAAACCAAAATTTTTCTAGAACGCGGATCTCACGAAATCGGGTTACGCATGACCTAATAAACGAGACATGGAATTAAATTTTAAAAATTGAAAAATAATTTAAAGCTAGTTCAAATAAAAATATTCTAAACTTAAATCTGGACAAAATTTAATTATTTCGTATCAATTATAGACCCAACAATGGAGGACGTGTAGAGTGACGAAGACCAAGCATTCCAAGGGGTATAAATATGGGAGAAAATCATATTTTCTCCCTATTTTTCAGCTGGGTTTCGTTAGAGAGAGGAAGAGAGGGAAAAAGAGAGAACTTTCAACATCTCTCTACGATCTACGAAGTTCCTTTGGTCGAATCGACTTGGGCTAAGAATCAAAGTTGTTCTATTCGTCGAGGGCTACGAAATCATACCAAAAAATACGAATTTCACCGAAGATTAAAACAAAAAAGGATTTTGGGGAAATCAAGGTTCAAGGGTTGATTGGGTCTTGGGGGGTTTTCTACCAGTTGTTTTACGCTTCAAGAGGTAGGGCTTTCATCCTAACTAAGTTTATTTTCAATCTAGGGTAAAGATATGAAATAGGTAGGGTGTTAGAGATGTAATCTCATGTATAACACTTACCATGATAGTTGAAATGTGAAAAATAGGTATAGAAATGAGTAAATTCAATTCTAACTTTAATTGGGTATGTAGAAATTACTTGATGTGGTTTCTTATATTATGTTATGAAATTGGGCATTTTATGTGATTATATGATTTGGTGTCTTGAAGGTGCTTGATTAAATGCCTATGTGGATTATATGTATTAATTACATTGATTGTGATGTAACATGCTTAGAAATTGATCCTAGAAGTTGGTATATGCATGTGATATATTGATATTAAAGTTATTGATGGTGGTTATATGCTTATGATGTAATTGACCATATAGTATGTTGATTGGAGATTGAAATTGTTCATATTGTACTTATGACATATTGAACATGGTTGAAAATTACAATTGTACATATACATTAGTATAAGCACGAGAAACATCGTGTTCGTGGGTATTTAACATGAGTGTGAGTGTGTGTGCATGTTGTTGGATCAAACACTATTGTTGGTGGTTGATAAGTGGATTCGGTATAGTCGGACTAGGGTTTGACAAAGTTGCACAGGTTGCATGAAAAACTTGTATCGGGCATAGCAAAAAGGTCTAGGTACTCCCTCGAATGCAAGACCCGGTTATTGGATTATACACTTCCGCCGGTGAAAGTCGAAAAACGTGTATCGGTAAGCGGAACCTGCAATGAAACACCAAAATTCTACTACCCAACAAAGACACATGATTTATGTTTTAAAGGTCATTGGATGTGCAATATCAATGACAAGGACTTGAAATGCCCGGTTTCAAAATCATAACATTGCATGTGTTATAGGAGCTGGTAAGGACTCAGGTTGAGTTGTATGTGTGAGTCTCATCTCATAACATGACATGACATAGAAGATTTATTATGAATTGCACATTCTTGAGTGGATTGATTGTTGCTTGTTGAATTTGCATGTGAACATTTCACATGCATTTAGATTGGGGAGTAGCCTCTTTACGAGATACCCGATTGAGTGTGACTCACATTTTATGGAGACAACATTATAGGTGCGGGATATGTGCCTGTTGATGGCTCTCACTCGAGCCCTCGTTGATGAAAAAGAGTCAAAATGTGGCTTTAAATCATATTTTTGTAAAACTAATATGTTATCTAGTTTTTGGGACATTAATTGTATGTAAAGGATTATATCGAACTCATATGAACTTTATTTTGTTTAAAATGTCATTTTATGTGAGTTGGGTTGTTGTTGTACAATGTTGGAATGAATTAGAATTGAAAAAGGATGGAATCGAGAGAAAATCAGTAAGACCTACTGGTAGAATGACAAGTTCTTCTACCGGTAGAACTTTTCAAGTAGGATAAACCTACTAATAGAACATCAAGTTTTGCGGTAAAACATTTTCAGTTGGTTTTCCTACTAGTAAAATGATGACAAACCTACAGGTATAACTTTTCTAGATGGTTTTCCTAACTGTAGAAGATGTTGGTTTTCCTAAAACTTCAAATTTTAAGAATGTTTTATTATACTTCTGAGCTTTGAGTCTTTTTATTCCAATGGTGTAAATGGATAATAATTAAGTATGAATTGTTATATATTGGACTTCAGGTGGGTCATGTGATTGAAGTGTACACAGGTTATACCTTTGGGAGTATCCAGTACAACGGAGACTCTGTCCAAACTTTGTATTGTTGTGATCCCGGTAAATGAGATGTTGTGTCGTGATGTCGAGTTATGCGATATTTACAGGTATTTTTACGGGTTAATAGGTGATCAACGGGTTGACAAAAGACCCCCTCAATTTTACAGTCATCATAATTCTTCTCATAGTCCCCTAAGCAAGTATAAATTGTATGAGGTTCTAAACAAGTAGGGAATCACAATCTTTGCGATCCTATATGTCTCAAAACAGTTGAGTTAATTACCGTTTTTATTCTTGAAATATTAATTGATTCTCACTTTGATACTTCAAGTTTTTTAACAGAAATTTTGTCGTCCAACTTCTAACATTTTTTTATTCAATCCAGTCAATAAGATGATTAGGTTTTTCACGGCAAAAGATATGCTATTTTTTCTAGATGACATGTGGCACCTGATGGATCCTTATGACCGTTATGATTTTTGAATAAAGATATTGCTTGAATTGGTACTAATCCTAAAATTGGATAACGAAATTGACTAGAATTTTTAAGAACTCAAGTAAAAATCAGCGTAAATTTTACGCTGAAAAATATAATTAGCCAAATATAAAATTATTGTGAGTAAAACTTAGTTTTATTGAACCAAGAACTAGATATATAACATAGTTCAATAAGTGACAAAATAATATTCCCATGTGCCCTTGATGCTATTAAAATTAATATAATTGCAATTACCATTTTCTGTAATGTAGATGAGTGGAACACTGCAGTTACCATGGAGATAGATCAAAGATTCGCGAATCCCTGGTGGATGGTTGCAAATCCAAGAAAAGCTACCCTGTAGCAATATTAATGATATAAACTTGCATGTCAGAAACATGTAGCGCATAGAAAATGGTTCAGAAATAGATTTTTTAGCAAGGAATCTCAGTAAAAATGACGTTTCTGTGGCATTTTACAAACATTATGATATTAAATGTCACTAGTTAGGAAATGAAAGAGTGGTAATAAGTAACATCTCTTTTGGTTTTACTACATAGAAATAATCATTCCAGAGAGCTCGCCCTCTAGTGTTTAGATTCACGCAATCACCCACAAACCATTGACATTGATTAAAATCATATTTTATGTGGACATGTTAACTCAAACTCAAGAAATGTGAATTTACGTTTCACCACTTGCTTGACTATTATACAAATCAAAGTGAGTTTAGGTACATCATCATGTTTTGAAAATCCAATATGAAATTTCCTTTTTAATAAGATTACTGATTGAATTACTTACAGGATTGCACAAGGAAACATTATCTCGGGAATCTGCTCAAGGAAAAAAGCAAACATTATTTATAAAAAAAAAAAAAAAAAGTGGCGGTTCGGTGCATGAGACTCCTATCACTATCATAGATTTTATAAAGAACAACTAGGGAGATAAAGGTTCTACTTACCTGTAAATTTTACATGCGCATCCGTTTCACAGCTTACATTTTGAATCGGAGTAGGATCATCAAGAACATACTGAGAAAGGTAGTAGTTTAATCCAATAAAGTCAAATGACCCAATTAGCCTTTTGGATTCACTAGCTGTAAAATTGGGCAATCTGTTTCCTACATTTCTTCGCATTGTTTTTGGATACCTCCCGAATACCAATGGGTCCATGTACCTGTGATATGAATGGGAGATTCAATTGCATTAATTGTTCTTAAAATAAAAAAAATGAAAATAAAAAGAGAGTGTTGGTGGGAAAGAAGATGAATTCGTCACTGTCAGGGATTCATTTATAATCTAAATCTAATTAATCGGATTTAAAAAATTCATATTTTTAATGCTATGAAAGTATTTTAAGGCTATGCAAGGGCTTGTCTCCAACAATAATTTGTCCCTACAAGGCCTTGTCCCCCGTAAGACATCTAGTCTATAAGCCTATTAGAAATGAAGCTGAGTCCAAATTCAGATAAAATTTATTATTGATTGCGTTATTCATATCAAATCAAATATTTAATTTTTTAACAAATTTAAAAATATGCTATGAAAATCAAATATACATCATCAACAAAGCACTTTCATACTCACCATCCTAGCTGTGCATCTAGTGCTCGTCGTTGTGCAGCTTGATCTTCTTCCGTATTCGTGTAAGGAATAGGCCATTCCATGCAAAGTTGTATTCCAATTTTACCCTTTTGATATGGCTGCAAAGCAATCATAATTATAGTACCTTAGAGATACATGGCATAAAATGCATCCTAATCGGTAAAGATGCTCCCATGTAATAGTACTAGTGTGCCCCATGCAAAGCACATCACGCTTTTTCTTTTAATGTATGTGTTGAATTGGTTAAAAATAAAATTTAAATGAGTTATTGTGGTTAGAAGGTTAAAAAGTTAAAATTTAAATAAATTATTGTGGTTAAAAGCTTAAAAAGTTAGAATTTAAGTTACTATTTTTGAATGGTTAAATTTTAAATGAGTTAGTATTACTAAAATATTACAAGAATAAAATATTAAATCGTAATATAAATCGTCAAATGTAAACGATCAAAGTCGATGTTGTGTTTTTCTAAGCAAGTAGTGTGATCACGAAAGACATATAAGTTTATAAAATATTATTATTTTGATGTGGGATAAGCTCCAATGCTCTGTGCATGTATGAGCCCTACTCAAACGTAAAAATATAGACCATTTAATGAAGAGGCTTACAAGACGCATATAGTACTCGTTTAGCAAGTATTATCATGGCGACTCTCGCTCGCAAGTGAAGAGATAGATAATTATAAATAAGATCAGAATATTAAAGTATAATTCTCGTAAAAGTAGATGGGCAATCAAATTATTGAGAAATTTAAAGTCATGTCCAAAAGACTCAAGTAGCTTAGCTCTCGTACCATTTTAAAGTATCCAACTCAAAATCATTTGGTAATGGAAGGAGAGACCCACTCAACTTTGATGACTAACTTGGAATGTATTACTTTTTAATGTGGTACAAGTTTTAATGCAGTTGCAGCTCTCCTCATGTTCCCCGTGAAAATATAATTAATTATGCGTGGTAATTTTCAATGCGAGTTATTAATATAAAACGTTATTCATACAAAATTAGCATTGCAATTGATTAATGTAAATATTAAAAGCTTATTCTACCTGAAAATACTTCCTGTAAGATTCTACTACAGCAAGATCGGCAAGAAGAAGATGGTGTCCCACCACATAGGGTTCCCTAGCAGAATCTCCTTCAGTGCAATTGTTTATAAATTTGGAGCATCGACCCGGTGCATGTTCACCCGTTGAATACCCATATTGCGCAAAAGAAAGTGGTTCATTCAACGAAGCTCAATGTTTTATCCGATCACCGAAATTTAAAAAACAAACTTCACAGAAGTGGCGAAAATCATCCCTGTTATGTAAAAAAAATGTCTCTTGATCAATATGAGAAAAAATAAAAACCATCAGTTCAAATCTCATCACCATCGACCAGCGATTAAAGAAAACATAATTGATTTTATATATTCTCAATTTAAGAAAAAAAATAAAAATAAAATTAGTTGGTTTCAATTTTTTTTGGACAATCAGTTACAATTCAAAATGTGATTCACCCACTTAACATGGTATTGAAATTATGAGTAATGTTATAAATACCTACACGAATACAAATTTTATCCAATGTGAATAATTCTACACAGGTATAATACCTTCTTTTTTTTCGAATCCAAACAATTAAAAAGATTACATGTACGGAAATTATTTTTATGTCTTATCTATCACATATTACAATTTATCTTAGGGAAGAATGTTTATCAAAATCAGATAATCCTCCATATCCGCAACTTTTGCATTCAAGGTTGATAAAACATTTTTTATTACGCCATTAAATTTTATTAACATTATTTTATTGTAGATAGTGTTTTTGTATGGATATTTGAATTTTAAATACATTTATTGTTGTATATATTTTGATGAAAAATTCATTTACTAGAAAATGGGCTTAATAAAGAAGATAAAATTTGAGAATTCATACAATCTAAAAAAGTACCTCGNTGTATGGATATTTGAATTTTAAATACATTTATTGTTGTATATATTTTGATGAAAAATACATTTACTAGAAAATGGGCTTAATAAAGAAGATAAAATTTGAGAATTCATACAATCTAAAAAAGTACCTCGTCTTAGATTTATTTATTGCTATTAATAAGACTTCGAAAAAAGTTCGAGGTGGAAATTTCTTAATATAAGTCAACGGTGGAGTTAAAAAATTTACAAAATAAAATGAGAAAAAAGCCTACATGTCAAACGAAAGAACAATCAATGTGAAATTCGAAGAATTTACAATGCAGAAAGTAAAAAATATTACTCAAATTGCATCTAGTCAAATCCTGTTTACTAGCTTGCTTTCATTGCAAAACAACAAAAAGGACGACTGTCACTTCTATTTTGTGAAACTAAATGATAGGATCGAGTAAACAACACTATACGGCGATCNAACAAAAAGGACGACTGTCACTTCTATTTTGTGAAACTAAATGATAGGATCGAGTAACCTACACTATACGGCGATCTAAGAAACCCATATATTCATCTTCTAAGGTTTGCGGAAGCTCAAAATGGAAGAGAACGGCATAGGGCTCTATACCTTCACACATCAAATTGCATGAAAAAATATGTGTGAGCAAAAATGAAGTATAAATAAATAAAATTATCTTGAAATATTACTTGAATGAAAGAGTTAAAGTAACCTTGGGCTGTGAGCTCATTTATGAGGTTGTTATAGAAGACGATAGCCTTAGGGTTCACTGTTTTTCCATCTGAAAATGGCAACATATTGAAAAAATAATGCAACACTAATTACAAATCAAACTCAGAAATCAAATGCCTAGGATAACTTGAATAAATTATCTTCATGGTTTGAAGTAACGGTGTCAATCGTTTAGTGTCATGTTGTGTTAGGGTTATGTCATTTTGGGTTTTTGAAAATTAGTCAACTCCAACTCAATACGATTAATATCATCCAAGTCTAACCTCCAATCAATTCTTACTTGGTAAGATTCTGGACCAGGAGATTTGGAATTTATAAGCATCTAGGCCTAGTTGTTTGGCCATGCACACATCTTCCTGCAACAACATAAATAAAAATGTTACCACTACTATTAAAATCAAAATTTGCTAGACTTGGTTTACCAAATCCCCAAGATATAGTAGAAAATTTATCAAAGCACTATACCTTGTAGCGATGATAAGAATCAACGGCCACATCTCCATTGGATTCGTTCGCAATCCTTTCTGCATTTAACAATAATCTTATATAATGAAGGAATAGAAAGTATATATTATTAATTTTTTTCTTCTTTCGGAAAATCAGTTATTCGAGTTGTATGTATTAATTTCAAGTATTAGAGTTCATTTTTTTTCCATATTTATAGAGAATTCTATATAACATACATAGCTATTGTCCATTTCTTAATGTTTTCCCGAGAGAGAGAGATACCAGGATGTGTGTGAGTATAATTATCCCAGATACTTAATCCTTTACCATCTTCATTATAAGCACCTTCAATCTGTAAGGGTAAAAGAAAAGTTTATAAGCACTTTCAGTAGCTAGATTCATTATTCATTGGCATTACATAGTTTAAATACAAATAATAATGGAAACCGTGATTTACTTGATAGGAAGATGTTCCCGCCCCGAATACAAATCCCTTGGGAAAGCTGTCTCGCTCAACGGGCACTGAACAATCACACTCCCTTTCGACCCCAAATGCATTGAATGAAAAAGAAACAAGTAGAACAACTGTCAATAGATTGCCCGAAGTTGCCATAATTAAGAACTGTACTGGCTACCAAACCTCTGATTCATTGAGCTTATATAATGCAAGGGCTTAGCCTTTGCATGGGATGAATCTTGCATGTTCCTTGCGTGCGAATTTCACTAAAGTTTCCTATTTGAATCTTATCTTCACAAAGTTGATGCCTTTCTATCATTTTTGTAGCTTTNCACTAAAGTTTCCTATTTGAATCTTATCTTCACAAAGTTGATGCCTTTCTATCATTTTTGTAGCTTTAAATATTATTTTTCTTTCAAAGTAGCTTTTGATGTTCTTATTTAGTGTTTGCTTTCCTGGTGCTCATCCGAGGAGAGAATTTCACGATGTGTCCTCACCCAAAATCTAGGATAAAAATAATAGACCCACATTATTTACTCAAAAGAATTAAAAAATTAAGTCTATTTAAAATNATTTCACGATGTGTCCTCACCCAAAATCTAGGATAAAAATAATAGACCCACATTATTTACTCAAAAGAATTAAAAAATTAAGTCTATTTAAAATAAAAAAATTTGAGCCCACTACTATCTACCAAAACTTATTAAAAAATTAAATCTTTGACCTATCACAACTCACCCAAATCGATTAAAAAAATAAAATTTTTGGTCCACCATTAAAAAACAAAATTTTTGGCCCACTTGACAGACATCAATAACACTTATCTTATTAGTTATCTTTTTTTTTTCCTCTTTGTCTCACTCACTCCCAATTGCCCAACTAGAAGAATATAAATTTTTTTGACACATTTTGGACATGTTATGTATATAAAGACCAAAGTGATAAAATGATGGTGTATATAAAAAATAATAAAGTTGTTAAGCAATGATTTCAAAAAATAAAAATTCACCAGAGTCAATTCTAAATAATTTTAATTGACCTATATTTTGTAAAAAAGAATAATTTGATGTCGTTTGTATATACTAAGCTTATCAAATTTTGGTATGTTGAATTTAATGAACTTTTAAGTATTAAATAGAATGTAATTAAATATAAATTATTGTCTTATTTCTATAAATTGTAAAAAAAAAAATTAATTTTTTAAAATATTTGTGCCCACTCTGACATGACTTTCTGGCTCTACCCTGGTTGTGGCTGAGCCAAGTGAAAACCCAAACAATTCAAGGTTGAATACGCAAGTGTTTCCACTCCGTCTAGCTATGTGTTTTCTAGATTCATACCTACAAGGCGAACTCTAGAAGTTTGTAATTACAAGCAACAATTATCGGATGAACAAAAACCCTCTTTTGATAAGTAGACTTAGAATCTCGGAAGGTTTTGACCCATCCTATGGGATTTTTCAAAAAAAAATCTCAACTAAGGCTTGATTTCAAAATATTTTCCAAACTCAGACTATTTTAAAAACGTCATTTGGTCTGATATTTTTAAGGTAAAAGTCGTCAGTTGATTTGACATCTTTAGTTTAAAAACGTTGGATCAACTGACTTTTTATGCTTATTATGGAATCTAGTAAATTGTCAAAACACGTGAGTTGGACTGATGTCTTTTAGAAGCAGCGTCGGTCCAAATGACGCGTTTATTTTAAAATCTTCAATGCATCAGATCAAGTCCACAAAATTCATATAACTTAAAAGGACTATTACCTTCATGCCTAAGTTAAAAAATTATATTAATATTTAAAACTAAAGGATGTCATCACGTCTGCCTCCACATATGCCTATTTTATTAACTAAAAAGACATTAGTCCAAAATGCTTGAATAAAAAAATTAAAAAATCTTGAATAAAAATCTAATGCTTGAATAAAAAGATTAATTAATATTTATTTGGATAATTATCATAAGTGACTCTTATCATTTTCCCTCGGATTTTAATGCAGTCCCTAAAATTTTAATTTTTTTAATTTAATCCATCAAATATCAATTTTATTTCAATTCAATCATTGATAGTTGAGGGACTAAAATAAGATAAGTGAAAGTTCATGGATTAACTTGAAATTGGAGATAAAATTCATGACTAACTATGAAACTTACCGTATTTTTTTATAAAATATTACGAAAGAATCAAATAAATATAATTTTAATCAATTTCTAATTAATTTTAATTTCTAAAAATGTTTTGTTCCCTCTCTTTTTGAGAGGATGATTTTATTTATTTATTTAAAAATTTAATTACATTCAATAAATAAATTTTGATAATTTAAATATACTTATATTTTTAAGCATATGAAACTTAAAAAATTGAAAACGTACACATATAATTAATTTATTTTTTATCATATAATTATAAATGCATACATAAAATAAAAATAAAATTTTATTTGCAATGTTGATCATGTCGACATTAATGTTTATTAAGCTGTGAAAAACCATAATTTATTCAAAACGTGTACATGTTAAAAAAGGATGTCAACAACGTGATTGATATTCAAAATAACATACAGGATTATCGAGTACACATAAACATGATGGGACAAAAGTGTCAAATGCATCATCGTCCAAATCAAAGAAATCAGAAAGCTCAGGATCAGTAACAAGTAATTGATCCTCTAAAATTTAATTTCAGCATATTTAGGATCAAAATGCTCTATTTTAGCATAATTGAGTGCGTGGAAACGATCAAGACGAAGTTTGGCATAATACTCCTTTGAATCAGAAATCTCTCACTTTTGTAATCATCATCTCACTCTTGTAATAACCACACTGGTTCATGCCTACGGCTGGTATCACCTGCTCGTGCTCTTGAAGTAAACATAATGTGTAATACATGTTATATGACCCACCATATATTATGTTTTTATAGTGATTTTCATTGTCTAAAATAAAATACATTTGTCAGTAGTGCAGCAGTGTGTAGTCACCTTTATGTTTGAGTTGATGGTCAAACAGTAACAAGATACTTGTGTAGTACGCGTGACTATACACTATTACATGTTAGGAGAAACAGACACTGGTATGCAGTGACTGTGACAATACACTGAGAAAAGTAGTCCATTAATTTTAATAGACCCTGATTCATCCTACGTCATAGTGATTCACGCCCCGTGATACGTTTAACAATATTAGGGTTTATGGCTAGTAACTACTGTGTAGTCACAGGATGTGGAATGTGACAACACATTAGTGCTGCTGAATAAAAAATAGTTACAATGACTGACAATTGAATCATTGTTAGTCGTTGTGACAACACAATAGGTTACTGTGACTAAACACTGGTTAATTGTCAGTCTGTGTGACTATGACTACACAAGTAATTTGTTAGCAGCAGTGCAGTAGTGTGTAGTCACGTCGTGGACAGAGTTGATGGTCAAACAATAACAAGATACTTGTGCAATACGTGTGACTATACACTATTACATGCCAGTAGAAACAGACAATTGAATCATTGTCAGTCGTTGTGACAACACAATAGGTTACTGTGACTAAACACTAGTTAAATGTCAATCTGTGTGACTGTGACTACACAAGTAATTTGTTAGCAGCAGTGCAGTAGAGTGTAGTCACTTCGTGGACAGAGTTGATGGTCAAACAGTAACAAGATACTTGTGCAGTACGCGTGATTACACACTATTACATGTCAGCAGAAACAGATACTTGCATCATTGTCAGTCGTTGTGACAACACAATAGGTTACTATGACTAAACACTGGTTAAATGTCAGTCTATGTGACTGTGACTACATATTATTGTGTAGTTCGTGATTGTGACTACATAATGTTCTAATGTCATTTGCATACGCACATAAATAAATTGCCTATAAGTATGAACTCATGTAAAATGTTTAATGTACAAAATTTATCTCTAACAATGAATTTTAGTCTGAGAACCCTGTTTGAAACTCTGGGTTATCATTGGACTTTAGAGGATGAGTTCTTTTATCCAATGAATCCTCAGTTACACTATTCACTAACAGCTACGAACACAATGATGGTGGAATGACAATATCGTTTGACAAAAAGAGAAAATTTAAGCTTAGACTTACGTTCTTGCAACATAAGAAGGCCTCGACAGGTTGTCATTGGTATGCCTGTTAACCATCCTCAAGAATTAGAGCGAGCATTATTTCGCATTCGAGTTGAGAATAATCGAATGGTAATCCTTTGCAATTGGTACAATCTACCCCATATTGCAGGCGACCATGCTATAGAAGGGAGGATGCAAGAAGCAATTTTAAGTTACCAATTAAGTGGTGAAGATGGATGTATTTCTGATCATTACCTGTCTGACGAAGATGATGACACATGAAGAAGTGTCATGAAAATCTTGTGTTGTAATATTTACACTTTCGTCACCATACTTGTGTTTGCAATATGTTTATGTATTATATTTCTGTATTTTATTTCTATGAAATATGGTGTACTGTATAACTTTATGTTTCTATATTATCTTATTCAACAAACATGTCTTTAGAGTATTGAATAAATAATCTGAAAGACAGTAATGAAATACTATTACATGAAACTATGAACACAAATAAATTTTATGTACAACAATAATATTTACAAATTTTATACAAACAAATGTCAAAAAAAAGACTAAGTCCCATAAGGTGATGGTTTCCTCTGCCGCTTGGGCCGCTGATCTTTAGACAGAGGCGGTATATCTTTTGTAACTCCACCATCTACTGGATCATGTGTATGGTGCGTATGACAATCGACTCCATGCCGACCTCTGCCTCGACCTATGTGTGACAGTAATGGGTCCTGTGTAACTCCCTCAGCTGGAACCTCAGTATCATTAGAACTGTCACGGTATGGTATAGGAGAAGTAGATCGTGTGGGCATCAGTGGAACAATACGTGGAATACATGCCCCAACAGGTGAAAGTGATGTATCTGTCATAACACATGGCTCTAGTGTAGGTGTGAATGGAGTCGCCAATGCATCAACACCTGGAGAGGTCAACAATGACCCACATGATGTAACTGTAGGACGATCAAGCGGTGATGAAGACTGATGGTGAACGACCGGTGTAGGAATGTCAAAATCAAAAGCTGGGATATATGGGGTAGATGGGCTTGCCTCTGCAACAGTCTGGGG